TTTAAGGTTTAGGGTGTAGGGTTTAAAGTTTAGGGTGCCCCTTCCGAAGGCTCAGACGCCGATTCTTGCCGAATCATCTCTTGCACGGCTTGAGGCACTCGAATCTACAGCGTTTGTTGAGGCAAGACTTTTCTAAGCAACGACAACACAAAGTCACGATATAGGGCAAGGAGCGCGGCTGGGATCATCCACCCGCATGTATTGTGCCATGAGTGGGCCCTAAACTTAAACCCTAAACCGTGCCGGCCTAAACCCTAAACCCTAAACCCTAAACCCTAAACCCCTAAACCCTAAACCCGACTAGACAGCAGCAGCTGTGTGCATGTGACCAGAAGGACAATCCCTGCACACGCCTAGTGATCAGAATGGGGGTTCGGATAAACTCTGGTATGAACATGTACAGGGATTACTAGTGCAAAGCTTCAAGTACACAGATTCCGGTAAATGCAACATTGTAGTCCAAGAGGCCCAGCAGCTCGCAAAACTTCGCAGTGGTGGCTGCAACCATCTCCTGCATCACACATGAACGGCAAAGACAACTGCAGTTTGTAGGGATCTGGGTTTAGGGTTTAGGGTTTTAGGGTTTAGGGTTTAGTCTTTAGGGCAGCTTAAGTTGCAGTGTCGAGGGTTGCTCGGTTCAGGGCTTTGAGGGCTGAGGCTGTTTGTGGTTTTGGGTTTTGGGTTTAAGGAGTTTAGGGTTTAGGGTTTAGGGTTTTGGGAGTTTAGGAAACCCTAAACCCGAACCCTTGAGGCAGCAATTCCAGGCTGAACCAGGCCTCATGTTCACAAGAACCCTTAGCCCTTGCAGCCTCACCTTCCCTGAACGGTTTAGTGTTTAGGGAATTGGCTTACATGCATCCTGCATCTTGGGTTTTCATCCTCTTTTCAGCCCAAACCCTAAGCCCCGAAACCCGTAGACTAAACCTACAACCTACCCGAATTTACGGGTCACTACAAAAAAGGATTATTGGGCTCGTCTGTGACTGGCCGCACTGCCCCCAACCGGAAGCCGACATGATGGTGACCATCCTAGTGTTAAAGGAACCTACAGGTGGGAAGTTTAGGGTATATAGGGCTTCTATAAAGCTTCCATAAGGTATATAGACCTTCTACAAGGCTCCTATAACGGTAGCTACCCACCTGAAAATATCCTAGACCTTGTGCCTTGTGGCATCGATGGTTGCCTAAATAAGGCGGTTGTGGTACGTAGTTTAAACCCAACTACGTAGGATGCAATAGTTACAAGGTCACGAGGTCTTAAGCCCTAGACCCCCAAACCCTAAACCCTAAACCCTACTCTGCAGTGTCTTTCAGGCCTCCGGCCCAGAAAGCAGAGCAAAGCAGCAGCAGCAGACGCAGGCGGGCAAAACAGCCAGAACAGACCTCAATATTGAAAGGATTTGGGGTTTTAGGGTTTAACTGGGATTTAATTGGAGTTTAGGGTGCAGGGTTTAGGGCTTAGGGTTTAAGGCTTGGGTTTAGGGCTTCAGGGTTTCGGGTTTAGGGCTTGGGGCTTAGGGTTTAGGGCTTAAGGGTGCAGGGTTTGGGGTTTAACCTTTTGAGCCCAAAAACAGCATTGAAACCTTTCCCAAACTCTTCCCGAACCCGTGTCTCCAAACTTACCAATGACCCTAGGTTTAGGGCAAATGACACTAAGCTCTAGATCCTAAACCCTAAACCCTAAACACTAGACCCTAAACCCTAAAGCCGCGAAGCTCTAGATCTGTTTGCTTCGAACACCCGGGAAATAGTAAAGGTCATGAGTGAGGATCTATTGCTTACCTTCCCCAAGAAGCCAGGGACATAAAAGGTTAAACTTTCCGGTTACTACTACAAACTATAAGAACTTAACAAAAAGTTTGAAGGTTGGGTTGGGTATTGGGGAACTAAGATTGAGGGTACTTGTAAGCCCAGTTCTAAGCCTACTTACCAAGTCCTACTTAGTAAGTCCCTGAGCTCTTAAACCCTACATCACAAACCCGGTTGTAAGCGGAAATATAACCCTTCTGACGAAGTCCCCCTGAGCGCTTCAACTCTGAACCCTAAACCCAAGTACAAGATGAAGCATAACCGTTCTTACAGAGTCCCCTTAAAGCCAAAACCCTATACCCTAAACCCAAGTACAAGCTGAACTATAATTACCCTTCCTACGAAGTTCCCAAAGCCCGAAACCAAGCCGACCTTGTTGGGCCGGAGCCGGTCATCTCGCAGCAGCGGCTTCCTTGGGCGCGAAGTGTGGACGTGTCGGAAACTTCGGATTTGTTTACTTTAAGGATTCCTGTGAAGCGACATAGAAGGGGTCCTACTAAGGGTTGTACAAGGCTAGGGCTTTCAGGGCTTAGGGTCTCCGGCTTAAGGAATTTTGGGGTTTCCGGATTTAGGGTTTTGTTTTTTGTTTTTAGGAGAGCGGAGCCGCAGGCTGCAGGTGTTTGGGGTCTGTAACGGTTCTATGAGAGCGTATGCGGGTTTTGTACGATTCAGATAAGCGCTTTATAGAAGTACAGCTTATTTATAGGTCTCCGTGCTGAAAACACTTGCGATGAGGATGTAACATGTTGTTCTCTTAATTTCGGATTTTGAATACTCTACGGTTGAGGGTGCTTATCAGCGCTGTTGAGTTGACTCTTTCTTTTGCAAGTCACTAGGAGGCTCGAGGTGTCATCTTAGGTTGTTCCAAGCTTATGGTTATGGTTTAGGGTTTGAGGTTGGGGTTTAGGGTTCGGGGTTTAGGGTCCAAAGTGAAACAGGGTTCTCCCATCTAAACTATAAGCTCCCAAAGCCCGAAGCTGTATGCTTGAAGCACCTGCCTACAGCCACATCCCTTCCTACAAGCCTTGCAGCGTTTGCTTTAATAGACGCAAACATAATGCAAAGATCTGTTGGTTCATGCTGTTTGTCTGAAGCCTTGCAGGTTTAGGCTTGCACGGTGGGAACAAGACTCTCCTGATGCGTTGGCTCCGGCTTGCCACAGCTAAACCCTAAGCCCTAAGCCCTAAGCCCTAAACCCTACGCCCCAAATCCTAAACCCTAAACATTGAGCCTTAAACCCTAAACCCTAAACCCCAAATCCTAAACCCTAAATCCTAAACCCTAAGCCCTACATCCTAAACCCTAATCGCTAAGCTCTAAACCCTAAACCCCAAATCCTAAACCCTAAACCCTAAAACCCAAATCCTAGACCCGAAGCACTAGTAAGACGTCCGAAGAGTCTAACACTCTGCACGCCTGAGCGGCAGCTTTTAGACGCTGCATCAGGCGGGCCTGGCGTCATGCACGCTGAATGCACCGCTGCCGATCGTGCTTTGATATTCTGAATCACGATATTGTTGATATTGATGAAGGATGAATTTGGGCTGGAGGGCTCGGCCTATGTGAGCATTCGTGCAAGCAGCTGCCTCTTTGATCTTGCATGCTTTCAGTTTTAAAGCTGATCTCCAAGGCCGGAAGGAGTGGTCTGGGACAGAAAGATCACGCTATTCACGCCGGACAGGCCATCGCTTCCAATCCGCTTTGGGATTGAGCTTTTTCAGAAATTGCCGGAGAACCGGTGAGCCCACTGTCGACTCAGGCTTCAGGTGGCTCGTGCCGTC